ATATGTTTGCCTTGATGCAATGAATTTGGTAGTTACTGTATGAGCCCAAGTTAATTGACTTTCTTGAATATTTCCAAAGTATAAGAAACACTTTTTTAGGCCTTGTGAAAGACAAAGGAAAATGAAACAATTAGTTGTAAGTCTCCTTAACTGATGGCTCCAGGAGATCAAGGACCACCTTTTTTCTCTATGTATCTGCAGTGCCCAAGCCAGTGCCTATGGAATGTTGCACACTTCATGAATTTCCTTACAAATCCTTCATGACTAATTTCTTCTATTTGGTTTCTTTTCTTTATACCTCTCTCTGCTGAGTCTTAATCTATTAATCTTATAAGTGAAACTTTTTTTTTTACTATTAATCATTAATCTTAAGTTTTATAAATTATTAACCGCTTTAACTTCTTCTACAATTTAAATTTCATCAATTTGTTTTTTCCATTTTTTAAAATATTTTCATACTCTACAGTATTTTCTAGGATTTAAAATTTTTATTATAAGTACAAATTTTTCTGCTTTAATTTATTGTTTTGTTTTAAAAGGCCAAATCTGTTTGTTCAACATTCTAACAACAAACATGCACTAGAGAATTGCTTTACAGCCCGCAGTTTAAGATTTCTCAGATGAATTAATTCGTTCAGTGCATATTTTTAGAAAAGTACCAGCTATGTGCTGGTCTAATGTTTTATATACACTGTAGAGACACTACTTGATCCTTTACAATATCAGGGAAAAGACCATCAGGATATTATGAGGGGATTTTATTGGGCTTTGTCTCTGTGGATAGTGGTCCATTGTAGTCTGAATTGTCAAAATTCTTAAAGGTTCTACCATTTATAAAGGTATTGGAGCCAGGTGATTGTATATTTGATTTCTATATAGTCTTTAAAGCACAAATGTTTTTTGCATTCAAGTATTTCAAACATAAGAAAAAAAAGATATAGTGGTTTTAAATTATGTTCGCGAATTTTTTTTCTGCCTTATCAAGTTTTTATTTTTACATAATTTTTATGTATTAAAAAGAAAAGCATAATGACCAAATATTACGAAGGACTAAAGCAGGACTAGAATAATAAATTAATCACTTAAGCCTGGAAAGCAGATACTCTCAATAATATTGTTATAACACACGCTCCTTCAAGTATCATACCCTAACCCATAGTAAAGACAATGTACAATGAGCGTAAGGTGGAACCTTCTCTGCAAAGCCAGATGACAAATTTTCGTCTCTAGTGAGAAATGGCTCTAAGTTATAACCTGCAGGATCAACATGCCTTAAGAGTGAGAAGGTGGGGGTTGGGAAACTCCAAGGACCCTTCAGCATGGGAGGATTCCATTCAGGAGGGTGCCAGGTGATTCAGATTACTCTACCCAGGCTTTTTTAACAAAAACAATCCTCACCCTTTAGTCATCTTCCTTGGCCCTTCTTCTCACTTCCAGGGCCTTCTCATAAGCAGCTTACTTACTTTTTGTAAAATCAAGCACCAGAAAAGGGATTGATGGAACAAAACAGAAATGTTTAACAACTTTGACATAGGGGCTTAGCACCTGTATCTTAGCCCCAGGGGTCCGGGTTGGGGCAGGGCTGGATGGCCCTTCTCTAACTGGTAGTGCATTTTTTTCCAGGTGCAAGACAGGGCGAAAGAGAAACCTGCCCCTTAACAGGACTGAGGCATACAGACCTTATGATGTTTAATGTCCAAATGTTAGACATGGATGAACCTTGAATGAGATATGAGGAACAGAGGGATTGGGGCAGACTGTTGCTTTGTGTCTCAGGTCTTGGATCCCCATGGGAGGATGTTGGGTATAAAGCAGCTTAGCCCTGATGGCCCCTGCCACTTCTGGCATGCTTGTCACAGAAACGTGGGTCCTCAATTGAAGTGCCTTCAGAAATTGAAGATGTAAACTACTCTTTGCAACATTAACTCCTATCATGATACAAAAAGAAAAAGAGAAAGAGAAAGAAAGAGAAAGAAAGAAAGGAAAAGAAAGAGAAAGAAAAAAAAAGAAAAGAAAAAGAGACTGGGCACGTTGGCTCATGCCTGTAATCCCAGCACTTTGGAAGGCCAAGGTTGGAAGATCACCTGAGGTCAGGAGTTCGAGACCAACCTGGCCAAGATGGCGAAACCCTGTCTCGACTAAAAATACAAAAATTAGCCAGGCATGGTGGCACATGCCTGTAGTCTCAGGTCTCAGCTACTTGGGGAGGCTGAGGCAAAAGAATGGCATGAACCCAGGAGGCGGAGGTTACAGTGAGCCAAAATCACACCATTGTACTCTAGCCTGGGTGGCAGTGAAACGCCATTTCTTTTTTTTTTTTTTTTTT